TGAGTTAGTGTCTCAAAACAGAACCAGTTTCATTCAGATTTTTTCTCATTCGGTGGAAAAAGTGAAGTTGCAACAGACCAAAATAGACTCGGTGGAATCCCCGTTCCTCATTACAGCTTCTTGGATGTGCAGCAACAGGCGTTTCCTTTCACTCTTTCGCATGAAACCAGACATTTGGAACATTTTTTTTTTACACCCTCTGGGGCTGATCCCCGCTCACCTTTGGGCATCTTCCGGAGCAGGCTGAAGATGGGGCTGGTCCTGATCAGGTCTCTGGCCCTGAAGAAGTGCATGGCGGGGGGGAAGTCCGGCCTGGCCACCTCGTCCTGCTTCATCTGGGCCATGCGGGCGTCCAGCCGCCGCTCGGCCTCCGTCAGCACCATCTGGCCCCCCGTCTGCATGGAGGCCTCCAGCTGGATGAGGGCCTCCCTCTGCCGGGGGTCAGGGACGGACGCAGCCAGGGTCAGACAGACCAGCAGCAGGGGCCAGGCCCCGGCCGGGGGGGGGCGCTGCAGCCGGACGGCCATTAGGGAGGGGGGGGGGGGGGGCAGGGGTCACTGACGGCCGTGCGTTGGAGGAACCGAAAAGCAGCTTTCTGCAGAAAAAACGGAGCCCCTGCAGGAAAAAAAAATGCGGAAGTGAGGAGAGAGAAGCAGGTGTTTGCTCCCCCAGCCTCCTGAGGTTCACACAAAGGAGGACACACACACCAGAGGTTTTCATGTGCAAAACAGCAGGGAAATGCATCTATTTTAACAAGGCGGAACACTGGACTGACTTTAGAAGCAACGTTACGATATTAATAAGCCAAAAAACAACAACATACACACAAACACACGGAAAGAACCGTGGATACCAGAGCAGGTCCCGGGTCCGGGTCCGGGTTTCGGGGGCTGTTGGACCCAGTGGAGGCAGCAGGTTGGTAAACAAAGCTCAGCTGTCCACACTTTTAAAAAAACAGAAGACCAACGGGAGGTTTTACCCGACGACGGCAGCCAGAAATGACCCCTGTGGTTTTATCAGACGGCCAAAGTATTTACGACATCGTCGAGAAAAGATACACTTTTTAAAAAAGGCTTTCGATAAAGCAGCGTTAAGCCTCCGGTGATCTGAGAAGGGTCTGTTTGACACACATTATCGGGTTTCTAGTACCCAATCCATGGTCTGCAAGGCTATAGGCCCCGCCCCCTGCGCTGTGATTGGCTAAAACCAACACCAGCAGCAACCAGAGGGCGCCTGTGTGGATGTGAACGGGGGCCTGTAAGACACTGCGGAGGGAAAAGTAAACCCACAGTTCTGTTTGTGTTTTCCAGAGAGCAAAAAGTCGGTCACCGATTACAAACAGACAAATTAAATTACTTAAAACGGACTTAATTTAAGAACGTAACATTTAACATTTATTTTATAACTGAGGCTCATTTTGTACAGATCAAACTTCAAATGTGAAATCTGAAAGTTTTTCAGAATGAAAACACGGAAAAAAGACAATAGTTAGTTTTGGTTATTAATGTGTTATAGAACATTTAAGAAGTAGTATTCTACTTAAAAAGATTTTTAAAAAAGGTAACAGTCTAAAACCGCTGGGGGAAAAAAAGAAGAAAGGGAAAGCTTTTAAGATTTGCTTTTTAATTGTGTCCCGGTTTGTTTCTGGTCATGGAACAACCATCTCAATTAGGATCAGTTAAAGTATCTTAATTACAAGCCTCATTTGCATATTTCTCCACTGCCAAGACTGTCCTCTTTAAGCTGGAACAAAAGAATACATTACTCTAGGCCTCACAAAGGGCCTTGCAGCCTGAGGAAGAGCCGAGCCTCTGACTCCTCAGTCCACTCTGGGTCCACGTCCACCGGATCAACTCTGATCTTACAGAATAACTTACATTTATTGTCAAGATTTTGAAGATGCAGCCAAATTGGCCTCTCCACAAACCAACGATGGGTTTAATCAACTCCAATAAGAAACTCACAGGTGAGAAAACTTATTTATTTCTAAGACAGTATAGAAAATACTCAATTTTCCATTTTCAAAATATTCTATGTCAGTCAGGTAAGAACATGTAAACGTGACGTTAAAAAAAACAAAAAAAAAACATGTTTTTCTATTTTTTTTCCAATGCCACCATGCTATTGAGGTAAAGGACAACAGCTTAAAAACATCAAACATCGAGAAAAAGAAAGAAAGCACATTTATATTAAAACCAGTTCGACAATTTACAAAAATTCTTAAAAGGGCAAATAAATATGATTCACATTTAATCACATCTAAATGGTTTCCACTAGTGCAGAGAGATGACAGCAGGGTAAAAGTGAGAACCGAACGCACACCTCCGACCTCCTGGTGTCGACTCTACACACCAGAAACACACACACACTCTCACACACACACACACTCACCTGTACACAATAAGACAACATCACAACCTCATAGATCTTTAAACACACGCTGTCCTTCGCACATTAGGCAGCGTGAATGAACATCACCTCCTGTGTGGCCCCGTCATAAACACGTATTATCCAGATAATCCCCCATTTTAGGAAAACAGCAAGGCATCATTGACACTTCAAAATTGCCTTTAAACCTCCATCTTCTGGCCATTTTCTGACATTGCCTGAAATACCACTCACCGGGGGGATATTCATCCATGGATCGGTGGCCCTCAGTACAGAAGCACATTTTTCCTTTAACAATCTAAAGACAATAAAAGGTATTTCATCTGAAAGACTCAAAAGATTCATTTCCGGGGTCCCACCTTTAAAAAATAGGCTTTGATCGCCCGTCGTAGCACTAAACATGCAGGAAGAGAAACACCTGTGTTCCCCCCGAAAAGCAGAGATTGTTTCAGCATCTGTAGCCGAATAGTCGCGTTTGAATCCAGCTGGTTTGTCCATGCCACGAAAAGATTAACATTTTTTAAAAAAGACTGAAGGGAGAGGATTCCAAGGCCATTACAGTATTAGCTCTAAAAGTCTACAATGTAAAAAACGTGTGCTGAAATAATCAGCTGGGAGTAAGAATGCTAACCTGGTGTAGTTTAGCTGAGCTACAGGGAAAGAGGGGGGGGGGGATTTGTGGATACCACAGAGGGGCTGCATGAGGTAGATGCATTTCTTACCATTTCTAAACTAAAACTCGAGCTACCCAGATGGACGAAAGTTCCCCAAGTCGCACCACTTTTTAGAGATAAAAAAGCTAAATTAACTGTGGTGGCAAAGGATTAGAGGAAATGAAGAGGAATGCAGAGTCAGAGAGCAGATCCAAAGAAAACGTAGTCTGCTTTCAAGAGGGGGAAAAAAACAGAAACACACAAAAAAACTAATCTAAACGAAAAAAAAAAAAAGATGAGCTGCTAAATGACTTAATGAGGAGAAAGAAAACAGAGCCTTAAATCTTCAGCGTCTTTAATGAGGTGAACTGGCGAGCCCGCAGCCACAGCCCCGTTTCCCTTATGTTGCTGCTCCTTCATATAATTCGCGACCATACCCGTATATAGAAACTGTACACCCTGAGGACAACCTTAGTATTGGCATTAGGAGGAGGAAGCACTCAACAGGAACTCGGCCGTGGCTGCGGGGGAACAAAGAACGGCTACAAACTTACGGCTGGAACTCACCAGGGTCAAACGGGGGGGTAAAAAGGGGAAAAAGGAGAAAAATGGACGAGTTTGTGTTTGTTGTGTGCATGTGCCACTCTCAGCTAGGTCGCCGGCGTCAATATATAATTTACTCTTTCATACATTTCTGTTCCGTCTATCAGGGGTTAGTACAAGACAAACAAAGGCCACTCAGTTTTAGGACGTCGAGACTAAATCCATAGTGCATAACGGAGGATCGGGTACTTTTAGATGCGGACGGCAGCCTCTCTGCTCGGATATCCTTAAAAAAAAGATTTAAAACGCCCGGCTGGGAGCCGTACGGCTGTAATTATCGTCTGCTCGTACATTCACAGAGGAAACCAAGGCAGCTGCAAGGGGCCTGTGAGGTGACCGGGTCGAGGGGGCGGGGGGGGGGCAGTCTCATAGTACCTCCTTTTCCACACCTGAGTTGAAGAGATATGGTTGGAATAGAAAACGTCCAGTGTTTTTAGAGACAGTGTTCCAAGTGTTTGGCGGGTTGACCTAGTGGTTAAAAAGCTTCCCTTAAACAAACCCCCTAAAAAATTAAAATAAAGTTCCAACGCTTTAGTCTGGAAGCAGTTGGTGAGTTCCAGGTCCACAGACCTGTTCAGAAGTGGCCCTCCCGGGGGGGGGGGGGGCAGAGGTTTGTTCTCCAAGGCTCAAAAGCATTTCACATTTTGACTTTTCATTTTGATAAGACCGGCCGCCTGGTGGGGGGCTCCAGGTCCAACATTCAGCTCAGGATGGGACGAACATGGAGGGTGAGGCCTTCTATCGTCAGCGGCCTCCTGAGAGCCGGAAACGCCCAGAAGTTTGTCTGAAAGGAGAACAACATGTCATCAAAGTGCACATGCACCTCTATCTCTATCTCACCACTGACTGATCAGTGTTTCTCCTCTATATAGCTTATTGTCATAGTGATGATAAATGTAATATTGTGTCTACTTTGTAAGTCGCTTTGGATAAAAGCGTCTGCCAAATGCATAAACAAACACAATCACATGCTTTAAAAAACAAAGGTTTACAGCTCAGACGGCGTATGTAGTGTTTAAGATATGATGATTTGAACCAAAACGGAGAAATCGAGCTGCTGTTAAAAGCTGTTTTGCGTACTTTGATCTTCTGGCGTGTCACAGTCCCTGCTTACTCCCCAGACCTCGGGGGGCCGCCATCATTTGTTGCCTGTGGAAACCAAAACAAACAGCTCAACACTTTACCAACGCAGTTTTTTCCCTCTGACAAAAATACAGAAACATTTTTTAATGAAAACATTACTGCAAACTCAGCTGTTTTTATCTACAAAAAAAGAGGCTGAAACCTATTCAAAACTATTAGAAAGTCGACTCCAATTACGTAGATGCTTTTAATCTGATTTAGAGAATTTAATTTGAAATAAAATGTTGACATCCACTAGAAAAGTTTTGGTTGGACTGATTCTTTACTGTTAATCATCACGTGAAAGAGGAGCCGCTTCCCTCCTCAAACTCGGCTAAATGCTCGTGTTTAAATGCCACTTTGGCTCCCTATAATCTTTTGGATGATAATAACTGGTGAACTCTCTTAAATGCACCATCTGATGTTACGGTTCTAAACCGGCAGCAGAAGCTCCGCTCCCTCTTACCCCGGCTGTAGGAAGCGCTCCGGTCCCAGGCCCCTCTGCGGGACCAGCATGCCCTGGAAGTGCCCCCCCGCCCGGGGGTGTCTGTACATGGCCATGCGCGTCTGCCCGGGGGAGAAGGGCAGCTGCTGGGGCCGCTGCAGGGCCTCCATCAGGTGTGGGTGTGGCCTCTGGGCGGCGTAGCGCCCGGCGTCCGGGTACGGTTGCCCGGGGAACGGGCTCACGCTCCCGAACCCGCAGCCCTGCGCCATCATGTGCGGCGGGGGGGCGCCGCCCCGCTGCCCGCCGGGGTGCAGCGCCCGGGGGTCGTACAGGAGGCCGGCGTGCTGCTGCAGGCCCCGGCGGCGGGCGGCCGCGTTGTGGCTGTCCAGGTCCAGGATCTCTTTGGGACTCTCGGGCCGCTCGGAGCTCTCCGGTTTGGGACTGCCGGGCTTCCCGTCCTCCGTACATCCAGAACTGGGCCCCATTTCGCTCAGGCGGCCCGGGGACAGCAGGCCCGCCCCGCCCGAGCCCTCGGAGCCCAGCGGGGACACGCTGCTCTCCCTCGGGGGGCCGTTGACCCGGGGGAGCAGGTAGGCTCCGGCCGGGATGGACTGGTGGGGCTGGTAGGGGGGCCGGGGCCACTCCTTGGGGGGGAACGCTCCTCTGCCGTTGGCCTGGCTGTGGGTCTGGGACTGGGTCTGGGTTGGGGGGTAGTAGGCCTGCGGCTGGTACTGGGGGGGGGGGTACAGGGGGCCGTGGTTCTGCGGGGGCTGCTGGTGGTAGGAGTAGGCCCCCTGCTGGTGGAAGGCGGCGTGGGGCGCGGGGCTGTGCATGGGGTTCATATTCTGATTGTGGTACGGGGGCACGGGCCGGCCCATGGGGGTGTGATTGTAGTGTGGGTGGGGGGGATTGCCTAAGCCGTACTGGCCCACGCCCCCGTTGACCTGACCCTGGGTGTGGGGGGGCACGGCCGGATTGTGAGCGTGCGACGACCCCCTTTGAGCCTGGACGCCCCCCACCGGTGGGGCTCGCCCGTGATTGGGGCTGAAGGCCTGGGGGTTATAGATGGCGGTCGGTGGCCCGTGGGCCATCATGGTGGGCTGAGGGGAGATGGCGGTGGCCTCGGGGTCGGGTCTGCCGGTGGGCTCGCAGGGCCTTTGGTGTCCGTGGTCAGCGGGGCTGGGCTGGGAGGGCAGCAGGGGGGCGGGGTGGCTGGGGGGCAGCGAGGTGAGCGGGGCGGGCTGAGCTCCTCTGGTGGCGCTCTGGGACAGGGCGGGCATCAGAGCTGGACACCCCGGGGAGATTCTTTGGACACTCTGATGGGAGGGCTCTGCGCTCTGGGGGGCTGTCCGGGGGGAGCCGTCGGGGGGGCCTGGAGGAGGACTAACGGTGGCCGGGTGAAGCTGCTGTTGAGTCGGGATGTTCTGTGCGTTTGGCCGGCCGTCTGACAGACGCAGAGCGGGATTCTGGGGTTCGGGAACGGGCGCTGGGGGCCGGTTTGGGGGGAGGTGGGCGGGGCTGGGGGCTTTGTGCTGGGGGCTGCTCTGCGTGGGTCTGGAGCCGGCCGGGTGGGTGTGAGGGGAGGCAGCGGGAGCCGGGCTGCTGTGAGCCGGATGGAGGCTCTCCGTTAAACTATTCGAGAGTCCTGGCTCAGAGTGGCTGCCCGGCGTTCTGCTCGGGTGTGGCGGCGGGGGGCTCTGCATCCTGTCGACCGCTGAAATGTAACATCCTTTAGGGCTGCGCATGGACGGCTGCTCTTGGGCGCCAGTAAAACAGTTTTTGTGCGATGAGGTTTCATCAGAAAGGCTGTTGGCAGCCATTTTGTTCTCTGATGTTGTCCCTGTTTTTAAAAAAAAGAAAAGAATGAATTTACCAAAAAACAACCCTGAAATTGACATAAACGTAATCTACTAGATAAATAATTGAGCTTTATCACAGAAAATAAAGATGGGAACTAAAATAAAGGCCCTGCATTGTTCTGAACAAGTCAGACGAATACAAACTAGAAAACACAAACAAACTGTGCCCTATTGTTTTTCTTTTCAGTGAAGGTGCAAAAACATTTAATAACTTCTGGCTGGAGCTGAATGTAAAATGCAAGCTTTCTGCGTCTTCTAAGGAAATGGCAGGACATTTAAGGGAACTGATGAATATTCAATTTACCACTCACTGGGAGAAATAATTGGATCAAATTTTGAAAAGCACTTGACAGAGAGGAGGGATAAAGCCTGTGCTGATTAAAACCTAGAGACCGTGTGGAAAGAACAGTTGTTCGGCAAAACGTTTGACTGCTCGAATCTCGTCAAACATGAAATGGATGCTTTGAGGAACAGTGCAAAGTAAAGGTCAGGCCTACCTTTGGGGCTCAAGTTTGCGTGTGGGGCAGGCTGGCTGTCTGGCCCTTTGTCTCCGGCGGGACGCAGCAGCTGAACCTCGGGGGAAGGAGGCGGCGGGTTGGAGGGGTGAGCTGGGACACTGCCAAGTCCCGACGGGGGCCCTGCCGGCTGAAAGTTGCCCGTGTGCTGATGAGGGGCACCGGCGGGGGGGCCGGAGGAGGCCGACAGCTGCTGGAGGGCTCGCATCTCGGGGCTCTCCAGCATGGAGGACAGGAGCGTCCGGCCGGAGGAGTCTGCCTGAGACCCGGGCGGCCGGGCGGACGCGGGCCCGAGGGAGCTGGCGGCGGAGGACATCTGATACTGGGCGCTGGACGGATGCTGCGGGTATCCGGCAGCTTCTGGCCAAGGCTTATGGCCGACCGGAGGGGGGATCCCCCCGTAGCTGAAGCCGCGCTGGTTCACCATGTTGGGATCCTGCATGCGCATGCCGTTTAGTCTGTCCTGGCCCTGGGGATTCATGCCGGGCCACATGTTCGACACGCCCATAGCAGGGGGCCTCAAGCCGGGGTGGCTGTGCTGGGGGGGGCCCTCTGGCCCTGGGAACCTGTTGCCCATTGGATGCATGGTGTGGCTCTCCGGGCGGTGGTGGGACGGATACATGCTGGCTTCGGGGGGGGGTCCGGGCTGGAGGGCCATCGGGCGTGGTCCCAGGGACGGGCCGTGGGTCGGCCCCATGTAGGGATGCTGCTGCGGGTGCTGCTCGTTAGGAGGGGGCCTGAGCTGATACCTGGGGCCCATGGGGTGTCCTTCAGCCATGCGATGCTGTGTGACAAGTGTCAAAAAGCAAAGTGGGTTGTTACGAGACTGAAGACGAGGCAAAACAGCCCCATCGGCCTGCGTTACCAGTTTTAATCGAATAAATAAAAGCGCCAGTAGCTGTGCTGGTTCCTACCTGCATGCTGAAGCCGTGCGGCAGGCGGTTCAGATTGGGGTCTCCATGTTGAGGAATGTGAACTGGGTAGGCAAAGCGGGGGTCCATCGACACTCTTTGGCCATACATATGCGGCCCATGAGGACCATGGGGACCATGTGGGCCAGGAGGCCTGCCTGGATGATGGAGCTGGCAGGGTAGAACAGAGAGGATCATCGTTTTTGCTCCCGGGTTAAGTGACTGACGACGTAACGGGTACATTTACGTATGGAAACCAAACATTGATGAGCAGAGGCTGGTCTGTGGATACCTGCTGGCCCGGGTGGTACATGCCCCTGATGGCGCCGTCCCGGGCGTGCTGCTGGTTGGGAGGCAGGCCGTGAGGGTGGGGGGGGCCGTTGGACCAGTGGGGGGGCAGCTGTGGTCGGGACGGCCTTCTGTCCTCTTCCCCTGAATGCCCCTTGCCCCCCTGGGAGCCTCGCTTCCGCTGGACTTGCTCCGTGGCTCGGATCAGACTGTCGGGCCCCAGATGTTTGCTGCTGCGGTTGCGTTTTTTGTCCTTGCGCTCTTTGTCTTCCCGACTGACGTGGAACTCTTCGTCCGTGTCTCCGTCCTCTGAGGGTAAGTGTTTGGCGAGGGCCCGGCTGAAGCACCGCTCCAGAGACTCCGCCATGATGGTGTACTCTGCAGGGGGGCACAAAACAGACACGCAGATCTTAAAAATCCTCGTATTACCACCCTTCTCAGCACCGTCTACAGAACCCCCCCGCCGGGATAGCTCCTCCAACACGTGCACGCTCCCTCAAACAGAGAGGCAAATGCCAATGGGGAAAACCAGAAAACTAAATCTCCACGTGACACAGAATTCCTCGACTGTTTCCAGCCTATCCCGGCCTAGTGACCAGGTCAGAGGGCTGACCTCTGCTCCTTAAACCTCCTGCTTCTCCTCCTCCTGCTCCAGCCAGGCCTCGTTACAACCCCCCCCCGCCTATCCCAGGGGAGGGTATTCAGCTGGATGGATGACTCCAGACGGGGGCTTGGGGGCTGGAATGCCTCTCTGGCTCTGCGGGGCTCGGGTCCCCCTGAGCACTGGAGCACAACTCAATCACTCCCCATTAATCACTGTCACGGCTGCCCTGGCCCCAACGGCTCCGGGGCCGGCCCCTTTTCTTCTGCCCTCTCCTACACTCATCCCCTGCGTCTCTCCCAAGAAAAGCATTCATGCCCTTTTTTTTTTTCCTTCATAGCATAAACAAACCGGATGGATTTTGATGCATTGGTCTCTGGTCAGGTCGTCTAAAACGAGCCGACTTAACTCACCACTGTCTTCTCCGTTGTACTCCATGCAGTTTTCGAACATGAGCTTCACATCGGCCACAAACTCCTCCTTGGCGACATAGTCTCCATCGTTGAGCTTCCTTTCAATAGTGGAAAGGTCCATGGGAGTCTAACGGGATGGGAAGAACAATCTAATTAAAACGAGTCCAGTCATCCAGTGGAAGATTGTGTGGGATTGTGTAAATCAGTAAGCAGAAGGAAACTGAATGCACACTCAGATAAACTGATTTCAACTCAAAAGTGGAAAACAAAGAGGCATTTGGTACCTGGATTATTTCATGGTAATTGGGAGCATAGGAGTCGTCGACTGGTTCTAAAAATGGCCAGGCGTCTTTGTGAGCTTTGAGGGCCTCAAGAACTGAAAAAGGAGAGTGTGTATTAGAACAGATGGTGTTGACAGAGAGGAGGTGGAAATATTCAGTCACTGTTCTGCGGCATACCTTTGTAAAGGGCAGTGTAGTCATCATCCATGTCGTAGCTGCAACGTCAAACGGGGAATTGGTTACAAATAATCAACCTTGATTCATTTAGGGAGATGACACAAACAAATAAATAACCCCTTACAATTCTTTATTCCTGCGTGTTCGGTGGACGGGTGATGACGGCTCCAGATTCACCAGTTCGGTTGGCAGCTCTTTTCCCTGCGAGAGCAGCCAGGCCTTCTCCTCCCGCATCTTCCGCCTCTTGGCTCGGTCTGCGAGAAGGGGATGAATACACACACATGTCGGAAGCTAAAACCTTAAAAATAGATATTACACGAGTCTCCGCTCGGAGGATCGAGCAGGGAAACGGTGCTTCGGCTGGGTTTTTTGGGCTCTGAAGTTTCAGTTCTAACTACACTCGCTGTCCCGTCGAGGCTGTTGACAAAGTCAATGAAAACCAGACCAGGACTGTTGGAAGCGGCAGCAGTTCAAACAGTAGAGAGGACGATTCATCAAGCATCTTTTCTTAGGCCCAGTTGATCAAAAGAGAAGAACAGAGCACGGAGACTGTATGTATCACAGCTTTATCTTCCAACATGAAAGGCAGAGGGGCCTGCCAACCCCCCTGCCGTGTGGATTAAAGATGTCTGAGGGAGCAATCCACATTTGCAACCCACACAGAGAGCAGGCCAGGTCCTGCTGTTCATCTATAATACATTAATGAGGCTCTTCTACCAAAGCACAATCAGCAGTTCATTAACCCTTGATAGATGACATCAGAGGGAGCCAGGAAAAAAAAAAAAAAAGAAGTGATCTTGTGATTAAAGGAGTTCTACATTCCCTCTCATACTCTCTGTTCTGCAGCATTACAGGAGCTTTACGGACGATACAGCCGTCAAGATTCAACCCAAACCTATCAAGATGGGAATCCTGTGAGCCAGTCACAGGCTCCACTGCCCCGAACAAGCCAAGTACCTGCCTCCGATAGGTCACTGATGAAAGAGGGCTCAGTTATAGCTCCTTCTTAATATTTAACCACCAATATGAAGTTAATGAACAAACCGGCATGCTGGTATCAGGGTTAACGTTTCAGAATTGAGCCTAAACGTCTTCAGATGAACAGACGGAGGGGATAAAAGCAGGACAGATGTTTGGGCTGGAGGTTATCGCAGGAGGAGTGTGGAGTAGAAGCGAGTTTTCTACTTGTGACTAAAGCTTTCTCCACATTACCTTCCACAGCTTTGATCTTCTCCAGCTTCTCCCTCTGCCGTTCTTCTTGCAGAAGCCTCTCTTCCTCTCGCCGCTGCTCGGCCAGCAGGACCTGCCTGTCCAGCTCTTCGTCTTTCTTCCTCTCGTCCTCTGAGGCGGTGCTGGGATTGTCCTGGATGTGTTCACACAGGGCTGTTAATCCAGTGTGGGCCGATAGGGCAGTTACTTCAAACAAGTGCACAATCTTTATCAAGCTGTGGGCGCCGGTAAATCATTCGGTGCCAACTATTATTGGCCCAGCTGGAGGTTTACTTGATGTCGGCAGCACAGAAACAAAAACAAACTAACGCACCTCTTCCTCTCCTTTGATGGGATTTTCAGAGGATCTCTGCGATATGCGAAATGGGGCTGGATCTAGGAGTTTCTGTTTCTGCTCTCGCTCCTGAAAAAGTAGAAGAAGACCAAAACATATGAGAAATAAAGTTGCTCTATGATATTCAGACACAGCTGTTGAGCTGACCAATGGATTAAGAAACACATCATACTGATAACTGTAACAAACATTCATGTTCCCTTTGTGCCCTTTCTGCTTCATTCATTTAGTTAACAAATCTTTATTTGAGCCCTTCAGAAACAAAACCACCGAACAGAAACCAGCACCAAGTGCTGAGAGGTCACAGATTCTCCTCAATCCTCCAAAAGTTACCATCTCAATCCTGTAAACACTCCTAAACATAAAATAACACACTCAAAAGCCTGTGTGTGCCAGCAGGTCTATTAAAGATATGTAACAGCTAATAGACTTCACCGTATAAACATCTCTACCAGAGTGATCGCTGGAAAAACTTCAAGTTTCCATCCTGACTCGTCTGCCATGAAGTTTGACTAAAGAACCCCTCGAGCACAAAACCTGAGAACGTGTCTCGATAGGCTTGTGTCAAAGTTCATGCAGTGATCAAAAAGTGAGGCCTAAAAGTTCAAAAGCATCTACAAGAATCCTGTGTGCGTCTTTGTAGGTGAGGGGAAAAAGAGGAAGGAAGGTGTGGGTGGGGAGCGAGAGAGTGGAGGGGAGGACGGAAAGAAGACGAGAGAAAAGCTGACGTACAGCTCAGTGTCCCCCACAATCTGCCACTAGCTCGTGTTTCAGGGGGAAACGCTGCCGTGTCCCCGGGCTCCACAGTTCAGCCCACACCCCCACCCCGTCCAGCACACACAAGATGGAGTGCCTCTGGTGTCAGCAGAGAGAGGTCGAGGGGAATCTCGCAGCACAGCAGAGATGTCAATCAAGAGGCGCCATTCTGCCTCAAGGTGAGCTCCTGCTGGCTGTCAGTGGCCCATTAACTGGCTGGTGACAGCAGCCTGACCCCCCAACAGGGAGAGACTTCAGAGATACACAATCTGCTGTTAGCACACGCACCGCAAATCAGAAACACAACGTTTGCCGTCGGAGGAAATTTGCTTTGGATGCAGCTATCTATTTTGAAGGGTTGGAAATGTTTCCATGATCACATCCTGCTCAGTCGTGTTAAGAAAGCCCCAGAATTAAGAAATACAAGAGTAAACACTTGTTTTCCTCCTAATCTGCAGATTAGGGATAAATCAACATCGTGCCACTGTGGTAAAGCAGAGCGTTTTCCTCCAGCGTCGTTATGGCGCCGGCTATATTCGGAAGCCAGTGTCCTTTATTTGCATCCTGGAGGAACGCGGAGGGAATGTCTTCCCTCTCATTAAGAGAGTTATTTAACCCATTTCAAGTTAATCAGAGCTGTGAAGAGAGAGGAGCCTTTCCATAGATTTGTGTCTTGAAGCTTTGAGAGCTGGGGTTAAAGGTCAAGCTCTCACAAATGGACGCTGATTAATGAAACGTCTCCTGATCCGACCAGCTCAAATTAACATCTATTAGCTTTACAGCTCTATAAGAAATCCTCGGAATGCTGATACCGTGTACCGGGAGAAGATTTACAAAGGGCTATTTCAAATGTATCCTGAGTGGTCGAGGAGAATTAATGAAGAACAAGGAGTGAGTGACCTCTCTGCTGACACCCAGCAGGGGTCTTCACTTCACCTCTGATGATGGAGAAAGGCTCAGCTGGTTTCTATAGCAACAGTAAGGGCCAGAGTAGAGAGCTAAAGTAGAGCTACAGACAGCAGGATTAAAAACTGATAAGCAACCAACAACCAGATCTATTACAGCTGAAACTAACTCCTTTTTAATCATAATAAACTGTTTGTTTACACACTGATCAGCTAATCTGCTCAAGTCTGGAAAAAAAGGTCATTGTTAAACATCCACAATAAACTTAAAGGTTTAATGAAACTAAAACACAGTTTAGAGTTTTCATGAACATCCTAAACACCTAAAATGAAATTCTAAAAAGGCAAGGATTCACTTCTTTTTTTTGTCCTTTCACAAGTTCTATTTTACTTCCCAAGCTCTTTTTTCTTCTTCAAAAGGTTACAGGCGGTTATTAGTGGCTGCTGTGGGAGCCAATCAGATGCGGAGGATTGGAGAAACAGGAAAGTCGGCCCTATGTTGCTTAAACTTCTGCACAGTCAAATTTCAGCAGCTGGTTTGTGTAATCATTCTGGATCAAAACCAGAGAGAAACACACAAAGTCAATCACACATTCAACAGGCAAACAGAACTTTTCATTTATGGTGGGGGTTGACGACTGTGGAGCCCCATTTTTGCAAACAAGACAAAAAAAAAAAAAAACTGTGTAGGCTTAAACATGCTGGAACAGTGATACAAGTATGAGTATAATCTTCCCCTGAGGTACTTCACACAAAGCTCAGGGGTGTTATTATAGACTGGAAAATAAGTTATGGCATTTCCTAACACATATCTTCACACCTGAGCTGAAGATTAAAAAAAGTACAGTTCAGTAAAGTTAATTATCTTAATAAGAACAACAAAATTGCAAGCAGCAACTGCAATGTTAACGGACAGGAGACAATCCTGATTCAAATCCAGGTGGGATTAAATACAATCAAGTTTAGTGACGCTTTCTGAGCACACAGGTGGGCCGTTTGCTGTCAGCGTATGCGTTATGAAAAGGGGACCTGTTCGTTTCATCAGAATAAGTCATGCATCCTACCTAAAAACGCAGCGCATCTGACATGAAATGGGGCCACTGAGACCAACGGCGGCCTCTTGTCGGTGTCTAACCTTGTGCTCGATCATGCTGCTGATCTCGGGCAGGAAGTTTTGGGTGATGACCCGGTAGAGGTGGCGGTCCTGTGGGGAGCCTCTGTCCTTGATGCTCTCCGCCAGACTGACCCACTGCTGCTCTGTATCGCACACCAGGGACCAAGCGCCTCGCTTACGAGCTGGAGGAAGCAGAGAGGAGACATCGGATCGCTGATTCAGAGGGAAGGCAGCTGGGGCCATTAAGAGAGAGAATACTGCGCTCACAAATGGAGTATTCATAATAAAGTTTGGTATAAAATACAAAACAACCCAAGTGGGCCATATGGTGAGTAAGTTGGAGGTTGCTGAATGAGAAGTGGCTCACATGTGCTTGGAGGAAGGTCATCCAGTCTTCCGTCTTCTTCTGTCTGCACGTCCGGAACTTCACTTTCAGCATCACTAAGAAAACAAATAGCACTATGAATCAAGAAATATTCCAACAAAGAAAGAAAGCTTACATAGCGAAAACGTAGTGACGTTTGTGAGTTTAAGCAGAGACAAACATGCAAGTCATTAAAATTTCCATTCAGCTTTTGATTCCACCAAAACAGAAAAAAGAAGGCATAAAACCCTGCTGCAGTGACAATCTGTTGCATTTTCTTATTTTACATTAACAGATCCACACGTCTGCAGTTTTGTGCTTCACTCTGTTGGCCTCAATTTCCATTTTTCTGACCTTAGAAAAGGATCTTCATACTTTCTCTTCTTTGGTGGCCTTCCCCTTTTCTTTTTCTCAGGCAGTGTCAGTTCAGTCATTTCACTTTAGAAAGACAAAGGGATAAAAAAAAGACTTTATTTAACAAGTGCCAAGCCACAAAGGAGTCATCTGTTCCAGCATCACAACATTTGATCAGAGAAACACAAAAAGCATCAACACGGAACAAAAGATTTTACCTGAACTTCTCAGTTTTCCTCTGAACTGGCTCTTCTTTGTACATACGAGTGCCGTAAAAGTACCAGTAGAGGGCTCCATCCCCATCCTGCCCCAGGGGCTCCACCCTCAGGCTGTCTGCATCCAGGCCCTGAAGGAGCAGGGGGGTGGGGGCAGAGCATCTGATAAACCGTACGCCTTTTAAGTCCTCACTCATTAGTGGATGATGTCACTCTGTCCTTTGGGCCCACGCTGTCATGAGTCATGCACGTGAGGCACCTTTGTATCTTACGGAGGGAATCGATGAATAGAAGCTACTGCAGATAAAATCTACAACACAAAGTTTCCAAACCACACAACTTCCACAGGTTTCCCAGTGAGTTGTGCTCCTCACGGTGAGCTGTTTAAGACACAAACGGCGGCGTGGTGGTGCTGTACCTTCAGCAGGTCGAAGACGTCGGCGGCGTCCAGCCGGTAGTCGCACAGCCGGTGCAGCAGCTCCACCTGCGTGCGCGGCGGCAGGGTCTCGAAGGGCCCCTCTCGCAGTGGGTTGGGCTTCCCCTCCTCCAGCTCCCACCGGTAGCTGATGATGTCCTCCAGGTAACGGCTGAACGCCTGAGGGCTGAAGGGCACAGCGGGCTCACTGTTAGCGTCTGCCGGCATCTTTTGTTGTGCCAACAAGTCCAGGCCAAAGGCCTCAGCAGCAAGGAGAGATACGTGCTTTGGCTTTAAGCCTTTGGTCGGTGCCTCTTCCACTCCTGATGGTGGACATCTGTTCAGTCGCCATTATTGGCTAACACTGATTTATAAATTCCTCTGACTGTGAATTAAGTTCAAACCCTTAGCTATAGATGATCCACCCATCGATGTTCTGAACCACTTATTCCCAAATGGGGTCGCAGGGGGACTGGAGCCTGTATTTATAGATTATTCTATAACTAATTTCAGATGAATTAACATCAACAAGTCTTTCTGAAGTTCAGACTGTACTGTAACTGTAAGAAAGCCTCAGGCCCAAATACAAAAACAAACAAACATTGGAGCTGAGCCGCGCCGCTTTAAAGTACAAACCCCTGTTAGAAGTGTCCTCTGATTATGTTAAATATGCATAAAATATACCACCACCACTCACTCACAGGTGAAGCCAAACTGGACCACTACTATCCAAAAAATAAGCGGCAACACGTTTTTGCTTTGTTGAGCTGGAATCTGCTTCTAAGACATGGTTGAAAACATGATGTGTGGAGCGTATTTATCCAAAAGCAGAAAGCAGGGAAGGGCTCAAAAACTCCGGCGGCATTGTACAGGGGGGGAAAAAAAAAGGGAGGAAAAAAAAAAAAAAAGGGCACAGGGTGGCTGGAGGAAAGAAGGAGGAGGGCGCAGGAAAAGAAAAAGGGACAAGTTTGGCTGAATGGGAGCTGGGTTTGCGTCTCAGCTGCGAGCGGGATCTAGTAAATAAATGTTGGTTCCGGTTCAGCTATAGCGGATTAAACCCGGCTATTCAGTTCCAGCTCAGATGAACAGGACAAGGGCTCGGGGCAGGGGTGAGCATCTATGCAACCGCACACAGAAAGAAGGACAGGAGTAAAAAAAAAAAAAAAGAACTTATCTCCAACGCGCCGTGCCCACTTTCCACCCTCGCCCCCGCCCCCCCCCCCCTCCCCCCCCCCCCCCCCCCCCCTCTCTCCCCCCCCCCCCCCCCCCTCCTCCCGCTCCGGCAGAGCGTTTAACGCGTGCGGATGAAAAGGGCAGCGCTGTGAAAGGCCGGTGCGGAGCGGCCGCCCCCAGGATGCCAGGGCCTGTCCAGACCAATAAAGCCGGCTGTCTTCCTGTTGCCGGCTGCCCGGGCGGAAAAACTGGATCGCTCCTGCCTCCGCCTGTATTTGCTCACTTCTCTGATGATGGAGTGGAGTAGGAGGCATGTGGACGGGTGGGGAAGGGAGGGGGGGGGGATCCCTGAGAGACTCGACATGTCGGGCCATTTGAATACAAACCTCTGCTTTCTCCGATCATCTGAATGGGGGGGTGGCAGAGCTGTGGCTGGTCGTGGGACTTTCAGAACCAGTCAGAGATCATGGCTTTCACCGACACCCTTTCATTGCCCGTATTTGAACTCCTGACACCTCTGTGGCTTTGTGCGGTAGTGACTCAAACATCCTATAAAGGTGCGCTATGACTTATCGAATGAAGTCAAATTGTGATTTCTTTTAGGCAGGCACGGCGTTCACTGCTCCTTTCACGCCTTTTAAAAACTTGTCGGACACGTTTCCACTCCCTCCACTCTCCTCCTCCCAAGGTGAAGACTTACATGTCGGTCCCGGGGAAAGAGTCTCACACACTCACTCTGCTGCAGAGCGAACACCAACTCAAGTGAATTATTGCTGAAATGTGTCAGTAGTAAAGCTGAATAATGTCACCATATTTGTTCATTTGTCCAGTGGCAGAGGAGAGCATGGAGTTTGTAAAGTTGAATGAATAAAATCATCTAAAACTGCCACCAAGCTCAGCCCAGTTTAATGTAATAACAATTAAGATTAGATGGAGCTTTTAAGATATCTACATCATCAAATGACAGAATACTGTATAAATCTATAGTCCTCTTGTGAAGCCAAACCAATCATATGTTTCATTATGTTACCCACTTTTGCCAAACGTTATCAGTCATTCTGGCAGCTTCTCAGAGTTTCTTTACAGGTTCTGCTCACCTGATGTCAGTGCGCTGGTAGCATCCCTGCAACAGACAGGCGAGGAGGTCCCCGAGGAAGTCCAAATCCTGTCCCGACAGGGCTCTCTCCAGCTCCTGTACATCACAACGACAACAACAAAAGACTGTCAGCGCTTTTCTGAAGAATTACCCCGGGTTTATGGTCGAGATTGCAGGATTAGCCAGTCGAAATAGTTCCACGGCACGATTAATAAAGCAGTGAAGTTTTAGACAAACAAACTTCCTGTGCTGGGAACACAACCAGGAAGAAAGAGGATTTTTATGCAATGCATAAAAAGAGATTCATTAAAACTGTGAAGTAACGCAACAACAAAAAACTCAAAGAGGCCTGCTTGTCTGGGGGAGTTTTGGCATGCAGGTTCCTACCAGCAGAAGGCAGGACAGCAGAGGTGGGGTGGGGGGGGGGGGGGGCGCTTGGAATTTGCCACTTGTCCCCTCAGGTTTCCCTGGTTTGCCTGTGGTGGTTTGGGCTGCGGCAGAGGTTCAAGTTTAGCCATGACCCCTTTCTTGCCTGGTATTGTGTTACGGCCATTGAGGTTTTATGAAGCGGCAGTAACTGGCAGAGCAAACTCTAAAAAGACCTGAAAGCAGCGAGGGAAGATGGCAGACAGCAGGGGCCGAGAGCCGTGACGCGGCCACGCCCCCTCCTCTGCTCTGCCGGCCAACCAGCAACCGGCACCCCGCGCGGCTACCCAGCATGCACGTCTCTCCCTAAAGATACCCAAAGGCTCAGGAGCGCAGGGGGAAGAGGAAGAGGGGAAAGAGGGAGGTAGAGAAGCTGGGAATGGAAATCAGGGCTTCCATAGGCAGAGAGTCCCTTTGACTTTCAGTCCCCCTTTTGCAGGATGCAAAAACAAAGCCTTCCGGCTGAAACGCAACCAGCTGATCCTCAAAAACAGAACATGGCTGCTCTCAGCTGACCAGCAGCCACACTCACAAAAGAGCCTCTTCTCCTTTTCACCGCCGTCTCGCCTCTCAACTTCAAAATGCTCTCAGTGACGAGGAGACATGCTTAATTATGGTGCGCCCACTCGTCTCTCCCCTGTCTGCCTCTCCCCGGAGGAGCAGGGTTTGAGCTCAGAGGCCGCCAAAGGTCAACGTACACACCTCCCGGCCATGGAGGATGACGGAAGCCAGGAGCCAGCGAGTCAGCGCGATGAAAAACAGAAAGGGGAGGAGGGGAGGGCGGCAGAAGTTGAAAAACAGGATAAGATAAATGTTTCGGCTGGAGGTGAGCAGGGAAAGGAGTGTGACAGAAGGCCGGCTGGGGCCTGCTTCGGGCCCCAGCTCCCACCCAAACACACCGAGAAACAGGGCTGGACGTCAGATAAAATCCTGCAGGTCTTGTGACACGAGAGAGAAAAGATAGCTGCATTTCCAAACGTTAAAGCGACCGAAAGCGATTGCTTTAGAAAAAAAAAAAAAAAAGTTGAATGAGGATTAAGTGTGAAAAGCAAAGAGTAGATACCCAGAAACCAACGTCTCACTCAGACCAGAAACAACATTACGCAGCCTTAGTCACCGGAGCAAAAAGGAAGATTGATCCTTTTCTTGTTAAGACCTGTGCCGGCCTTAAGAAACCAGCTGAAACCGCTTCCCTCACACGGGGAGAGAGAAGGGCTGAGCCTCTCGAACTTGGACGTGCAGAGTGCACGACATCAAGGCGGCATCGCCCGTTGGATTATTTGGATAGTTTTGCACAGAACGTGCTTCTCGGTGACGGGTAATTCCTGCGTAACCAAATAAATAACCCCCTCTGAGCCGAGCCGATGGACTCCACACACTCCTCCAGCACCAATCAATGTGGAAGCTTTGTTTTGTTGATTGCAAATGATGAGAGCAGCTGGGGTCACAATGTGTTACAAGGACCAGGGGGGGCCGGGCTAAAGGGGGGGCCGACTCCGATGTCTTTATCGTGATCCACGCAACAAAAAACGCTGCTTCTAAACAAGTTGTGTCTGTCATGCGTCACAATGGGAGCCGGCGGACAACAAAGGGATTAGCCGCAGCGCTCGGGCCGGCGAGAGGGCAAAAATGATGGAAAAAGGATGGACAGGCTGCATCTCAGCCCGACAAGGCGGAGAGTGATTTAAGGGAAAAAAAGACAACTCAGAAAATTAACCGAGGACTGGATTCAGTGTGTTGATCAGAGGTGACAGCCCCCAAACTGAGTGAGCAGCCTCAGGATTGAGACACTTATTTTTAACCTCCTCTGAAAGTGACATTTTCTGCATTTTCATCTTTTTGCCAACAAGTCTCCTGGAGCTAAAGAAGGCGAGCACCGTTTGGGGATTTGTTGCTCAGCGGCGTTCTTTAATTATTGAGCTAATCTCACATTTAAATAACTAAATAAGAGTCAAACCACCAAAGGAAAGACTCACAACTTCTCAGAAATAATTCAAATCATAAATTAGATTGTTTCCCCCGAATCTGAGTGGTTTTATGCATTTATTACACGATAACGACTGGATCAAATATAATTGCATATTAAACAAACTTTTTTTCCTCAAGAGACTGAAGTTGTGAATTTAAATTAATTTGTAATAATAACTAAAAAGAAAACTGCTATATTGGTTACATGTATGTAACTTTGTGAGTCTTTGGCGCTTTTGCACATGAGCCACACAGAGACTGAGCGGAGGCTTTAAAGTGCACGAGTCATGCTTTCCTCATATCTACACATGCTATCCAGCTGCTGGGGAGAAGCCGTGAACTTTGATCAGCGGAGAGATTATAAAGCCATCCTGTGCGTCCGTCTGCAGGCACATGTGCAAAAGGATGCCCGCAGATCCTGTGTGCTGCTCTCTTCTGCTTCCAGGTCCTCCGCGGGCCAGCCCCCCGAGCCCATCCATCAGAGGCCGGCTGCACTTTGATCACGCTTTGAAAAAGCTGGGGGCCACAACAGGGGAAGGGGGTGGGGGGATTTGTGCAGAGTACAGCAGATTGAAGGGGGCTCTCTGCGGCCCCTGGATTAACACCACCCATCCCCGACTTTGAAGTGCCACACAACCTCTCAGGTGGCAAAAGGAAGGGGGGGATTCGTTTGGTGGGAAGGCCCATTTTTCCAGCCGATTGGTTGGTCCCTTACTGGTCTGGTACCAATAAACGGCGGGCTGGAAAAGTCCACCAGGAGCACCGACCCCGTTTGGTACTTTGGCTGCTTCACATTAATGATCAATGATGCAGGCAGATAAGAGGCCGGCGTGGGACAGGCTGCAAAGGGCGAGTCCGACCCCGGCGCCGTCCGACTTATCGCAGGACTGCTGCTAGGGCCAAAAAAAAAAGAAAGAAGAGAAAACGGGCCGTTCGGACCACATTTTCAGACAAAGATCGGAGTGTGAGTCAAAGGCTTGTCAGAAGGTGTGTCTGCCCTCCGGGCTGCAATCAGCAATTCACCCCGAAGCTATTCGCCAGCCCTTTCTCAGAATCCCCCGCTGTTTCTCTCACTGGTTTAACTTCTTATTCCACTCCTCCACAGCATTTTCCTCCCCCTGCCCCGCTGCCCAGGGTCTGAGAGGGCCTCTGAGGCATTCTATTATTCCCCTGACAACACCCTTGCTGCACTCTCCACCCCACTCTTTTCCTTTCTCCGTCTTCCTTATCTCTCCTCTCCCTCCACACATTGTCCCCACTCCCACCGGCCTGTAGGCTTTACAGTAGCTCAGGGCTGAGCGCTTTCCGTATAATAAAGTGAAATGTAATTGGCTGTTTGCCCCTCCCGTAATTATGGAAACTGAAAATATTCATTTAAAGCAACTAAACTTCCTTCGCCTCATCTGTCAGCAAAGAAAGCGCAAAAAGCAACACCCAGGAGGACAACGATGGACCATTTGTCCCCCCCCACCCCCCCCATGCCCTCATCAGCAGAACAGAGAGTCTGCATCCACATCTCTCACTCAAAGGCCTGGGAGTCATGGGGAAAGGGGCTTCTGGACGGAGACAGTCCAGATAAACATCGGCGCGTCTGACAGGAAGAGGCCGGTTTTCAACGGCCTCCGAGCCGACCAGGACGGGGCTAAACTATACGGACATGCTGGACATGCGTTTATCATCGATTTGACTTAAGATGCAAGCGTCAAGATAAATAATTTAGTTCACGGGGGGGAGACACACATGCTGCTTGCTCAGATTCAACCAAATGCACATCCCACCCAGAGAAGGATGCAAAGTGAACAGGTTTTTTTTCTTTCTTTTTTTAAGACAAAAAGACAGAATATTCCTGTGAAGCCCAAAAGTGTGACCAGATCTCAACATACGTCAAAGACAGAAATACCAAGAAACACACAGCAGCAGTCGCCGAGGAGAGCTGAAGCGAAAGCGTCACGCAGAGGGATCAACTACCCCTTTTTACTGGGAAATTGTGTCATATTGCCACAGAGGCCTCTTTCGCTTCAAATGTAGACACTTTCTCGTTATGAGAAAAGCAGCCGCAGTCAACACTTCATTTTTCACCTGCTTGTGGGAAAGAAAAAAAAACGGAAAACTACCAGTTTACACAGCACATCAAATGACTGTTTCAAAGGGGATTCGAAGTGATCAATAGTGAGGAATAATCACCACCCTGCTGTGGGGTCATTACAATACATCATATACACTGCATGTCAATACGGGGAACACAAAGGAGGACCACCAACCATTTTTACAAGACACCAGATCTACAAAACATTGGCATTTCTACCGAAAGTGGACTTTCTAAATGCTGGCAAACTAAAGTCATTCTGAGCAGGTTCAAGGTCTCCAGATATTTGTTATTTAAGAAATGGAAAGAAATTGTCTGGTCGTGTGTTGGTCTCACTGTTATCTGATGAGATCGCCCGAGTGGCAACAGGCCAGTGCAACGAGCTACGTCCACCTTTATGACGATCTTCCAACGAGAGTGTTGGAAACTGCTCATTGTCTGGTCGGTTTCTGTTCAGGCTACTGGGGAGTTCAGACACTTGGTTCTTCAAAGACTGTGATGTGCCGCATTCAGCCGGGTCGATAAGGAACAAACCTCGGTTGTGGTCTTGCCGCAAGCCTTTAACTTAACATGGATCATGGGATCATGAATAATTGGTAACCATGCAACTGTGTGAGGCCTGGAAATAATTTCATGATATTGATGGTTAAATGTCACTAGGCCGGCTCCCCGAAGAGAGACGGACAGAAAGGAAGGGGACAATTAAACACGAGCGCAGCCCGCCGGGTAATGAGAACACATGAGGAGTAACAGAGAGGCCCGGCTGTGAAGGTCTTATTTAGTGTGAAGAAGCGACATTTAGCAGGAAATTCTAATAGTGGTGTTAACGTTGAAAGCCACAGACAACTTCTTGGTGGTGCCTCAAACATGGATGGACGTTTTATGTGACCACTCGACTGCGCCCACAATTAGGAAGTGAGAACATCTGTTTGGCTGTTTGAAGACATGAATCAGTGCAGACGGAGGGTTAGAGGAGGCTTCATTAGAGCGCACGCTAGCATTTTTCTGATAAAAATAAAAGCGTTTTTGCAGCTCGTG